AGCACAGCAAAATGTGTATTTTCTTTTTGTCTCTTTCCATCGCCCACCTCAAGAACATTTTGAGATTTTATGTCCTTAAAAGTATTTTATGATGGGCATTTTTCTCCTTTTTAAAAATAAAATTGATGGAGACAATAATTCTTTATACAATCATCAATCGTGAGATTGATTATAGGGATCCTCCCAAGACCGCAGCTCATAACTATTTTTTTCCCTTCCATTGGCATTGTCATTGACTGCGCGACAAAGTCAGTTAGCAACAGCAAAGTTGGTTAATTACCCGAAACAATATTTATCCACCATCATCTGTAATCGTTATCATTATACAAATTCATTGTGCATTATACACAATTGGAGAAGAGCCTCGTTAATAACGCGATGACAGTTTTATAATCTACACTTCTGCGCTGATGATTTATATTATCTTATCATAATTCACTTTTCCAGACAGGTAAACAGTGATAAGAGGGCGTGAACTTGAGTCTTGGCCAATATTCTTGATTACTTGCTGATAACCTATGTCTTTTTTCATTCGACTTTAATAATACCTTTTTTTTCATCGATAAGTTCTACCACTTTTTATTTCATTTTCACAACTATCTATGACGTAGGCCTATTCTTCTTATAAGGAGGGGGAAGGAAATGCCCTCATGCTGGTTTGTATTTTTTTTTGCAGATTCACATTTTCCGGGCATAGAGCTTTTAGAGCACATGGTATGGGCCTATAATTTTGTTATCTTCTTTTTTAAAAATAATATTATCAGGTGGGCTGTATCTAATACAGACCACCTTATAATTTTGTTAAAATTGCCTTTATTTAGTTCTTTATTTTTTTCTTATTTCCACCCACTTTTTTGTTAGCAAGATAACTTGAAAATGGTTCAATCATATACCTTGAAATTTGGCACACATAATTATGTATAGGCATATGGAGAAATCACGGTAAGGTTTTCAACCTTGACCTTGACTGATGACGTCATCTAGGCGCCATTTTGTGAAATTTTCTGAAAATAAACTCATGATCATATCTTCATAACCAAAAGCCATTTCTCATTCATATTTATCACGATCAAGGTCAATATCAGTCTGATCAATTTCAGGTCAAAAAACGCGCGCGTGCGCGTACGTCCGCGCGTCAGTGCGCGCGCAAAAATTTTAAATGCTCAAAATCGATTCCATGACATTTGCTCCGCTGTAAATTTCATACACTAATCGAATGGCTAACTTCAACCCTGGATTCAACACTATACCCTACCCTAAACCTAACCCTAAACCTAACATAAAACCCTATTGAAACCCTAACCCTAACCCTACATCTTAGACGAAATAAAGCCCGGAGCAATTGTCGCAGGAGCAAATGTCGTGTCACCTCAAAATCGTCTCAAATTTATTTTGCATACGTTTCAGGTCAGTTTGAAGCATTTTATTAAAAAAATCGCGCACACGCGCGTAACACCATTACAAAACATAAAATCGCAATTTTTTTTTTTTAATGATGTTTCTCATATTTTTTCGAGGAATTTGATACCATGATTATCTCTATATGACCATTAATAACAAGATCAGCGTCAAATCAAGATAAATGTATGTGCGCACGAGCTCTTTTAATACATAGCATACATAACATGCCTACGCAAAATCCATTATAGCTCTTTGGAATAAACCGTGACCTTCAATTTTTTTCATATTTAGATAGAGTATGAGTCGGGGATATGATTCCATGTCTCATTTGGCCATTAAGTGTATCGTGACATCATCATAATGGCCTTGGAACTCAAAATACGAATTTGCATATTATGAAGTCAGCATATTTTATGTAAAATTGATTGTATCTCTGTAAATATTGATCGATTTTCTTCCAAATTTCGATATGTTGTAGCTAAGACAATTCTGTACAAGCTCAGTAACCACCATTTTTCATTTTGATCACTCCATCATAGTGGAAATTACGATTAAAGGGCATATATCAGAAATTTCTTAAGTTGCGTGTTATGCCTATATATGGAAGTTGAATTTCGTTCACATCATTAATCTACATAACATTGTTTTTTAGCAGTATCTCGCTTATTTTTGCTCTACTTTGTGTCAAATTTTAGTTGACCAGCCCACCTATACTTGTTCCAAACAAGTATTATATGTCTAGTTATTTATTGTGCTTCCATTCAACAAATTCATAGAAAACAAAATAACACTTTTTATAGATAATACAAAAACAAACTCATACGTTTCGATAATGACATAGTGGAAACAATATAACATAAAATACCTCAAACTACCTCCCCCCCCCCCCCCCGCCCCCCTAAAACCCCCTCCCCCAACCCCCTTTTATATATTTTCTTTAATTTATATCTCATTAAACAATTCCATACAGAAAGAAAACATAACCACGTTCCTAGCAGTCAGTCTACATAATCTCTCTCTCTCTCTCTCCCTCTCTTTATCTCTCTCCCTCTTTCTCTTTCCATCTCTCTTCCTCAGAGTATTCTTCGTGCAAATACAAAAAGCTAGAATATTGAAACTGAGAACAGAAGATGAAGGGATTTTCTGAAAAACAAAGAGACACAAAACCCTCAGAGTCACATAATAATGTGTGAAACTAAACGAGACAAGAAGCAACATTCAAATCTTCACTAAAAACGCACCTCTTTGGCCTTAATTAATTAGTTTAAACTATCCTGACTTACGTTCTTTGTTTTTGACCATGTTAGCTATCTCTTTATTATGTTATTTACTATGTTAAGTTAGTCATTTTAGTAGTATAAGATTTGTATATTTCTCTGTGTTGATTCATTTTATGTGATTATAATTATGCTTGTACAGCGCAAAGAGAAACTTATGTTTATTTTGCGCTATATAAATATTGTATTATTATTATTATTAAATATCCGATTTGCAAGCAAACCGGAAAAAGTACTGCGCTTTGTTATGCAATACAAAACAATTATTGTCCCTTCGTTTTTTTATACGCTCTTGAAATCGAAAATTATTCAACTTGATTCATACAATGATCGAAAATGATACTCTAAATAAAACACGGTCGCAACTATACTTTCGAAAAATTAACATCTGGCAGTGCAGTGCAATGACGTCACCTTTTGAAAATGTGCAAAAATTACAATGATTACGTCATTCAAACATGATTTCTGTGGGGCGTACAATGAGTTGATTTTATAAAGTAGTTACGGTCTTTACTAATCTATTTGAATTGGAGTTTTATAGTAGCAATTAACGTATCGCTCCTGTTGATAACTTTACCAAATATACAGGTACATGCTGATCGAGGTGCAATCTGAAAATGACCTAGAGCAAAAAAATGAATGCTCTGGCGGGGGGGGGGTAATTATGTTTCACAAGTTCTCTCACACGCAAACAAAAATAGATAAACAATTTTTAAAACATAAAAATAAAAAAATCACAAAATCTTTATGAAATTTCAGGTGTCTCTTTGTCTAAACAGTAAGGATAAGGAGACACAATTTGTTTGTGTCTGTATTAGTATACTAATGATATATTTTTATACCGATTCGATTCGGGGAGGAAGGGGAAGGGGGCAGGTGCCCTCCGCACCCACCCCCCCCCCTCCCCCCACTGGATTAGCTAGCCACTGGACTATATTCATGAAATAGGAATGAACAATGAACAAGCAAAGTATACTGGAAAATGTGATAAGGATGTACGTTGGGGAAAAAAGAGGGAAGATGAAACAATAATTTGTCATAATTGACATTATTAGTAAGACGATGGATATGCATAATCGATTAGTTACAAAACAGTATTTTTTACCTTCTAACATTGTTTTCAGTTTGACGACCACGTCCTGCGTTTTATTCTCGTCCACGTTGAAAGTTAAAACCACAACACTCATTGCGTCACTTTACTTTTTCCGCTTTAAAACTTTTTAACTAATTCCAACAAAATTACAGCTCTGCAGTATGTTCGTGTATCAGGAAGTCTTTAAAGTCAATGAAGTGAGTCCAGCGATTTAAATGACCCATGCACAAGGGAGTTTTCGAGTCGTGATTACGTAAACATTTTCGTTATGTAAATGGATCTAACCATGGACTTTACTGTCCGGACTTCAGATTTATTTAGGATTTCTGTTTGTACATGTTACATAATATTATCTTATCGATCCACCCTAATCTCTCCTTAACCCCCCCCCCCCCCTCGACCCCACCTCTCTTCTCTCTCTCTCTCTCTTTCTCTCCCTCCCTTCCGTCTCATTCTGTATCTCTACCCCCTTTTCCCCCATCTCTCTCCCCTCTCCCCTTTCTCTTTCTCTCTCTCCCCCCGGCCTCTCTCTCTCTCTCTCTCTCTCTCTTTCTCTCTATCTATCTGTCTCCCTCTATCTTATAGGGAGAGGAATTGTAACTTATTTTCTCGACTTGACGTAGCAGTCATAATTATTATTAACAATATTTATTTTAATCCATGCTTGTAGACGCCCCCATTCCCCCCTCCCCTTTCTTTAGAATATACAGTATATTGCTTGCAATATATATTGTATTGCAGACATGACTGTCTTTAATTAAGCTTGCATCAGCACAGTATGGTTCACTGTGCCTCGTATTTCCCTGAAGATTAAACAATTAGTGACTGATTGACTAATCTTTGTCAATCCTGACAAGGTGACAATTCAGCAGTATCAGAAATCTTTTATTGCAGATACCGTGTAATGTTGACGATTCAACAACGTCTTTAATACAATTTTATATCAATATCATTCATAGGTATAAAGTATGAAATACTATCTTATGGAGCAATGAGTAGAATGATACTTAAGCTTGGAATTTTTAGTTCGGGTAATTCCTCACAAGATGGTTTGTTTGTGACCTGGAATAGATGAACAAATAGTGCTGCCCTCATCATTGAATAATAATTGTTCACATTAGAGTTTTAAAAAAATGCAAACGTTGGAGAAAATTCTACCATTCAGTAACAATCAACGCTTTACTTGACGCTGAAGATGTTGAGCGATAAAGTCATGGTGACATAAAAGGTCATTTGGAATAATATTTCTTTGAACTTCTTCTGTTCAGCCGATTCGAGGATGCAACCGGGGATTCGTTCACGGGATAATGATGCTCTTTCATGTCTTTTTCTAAATCACCATCGACATCGTCGACGGCCTCGTAATCGACGATATCGCCACCGAAATCGCCACCGACGTCGCCATTTTTAACATTACTGTCACTCGAATGGTTGCTGGTATGACTTGATCGACGATAATCGTTCCCGACTGCTCCGTGGTGGTTTTTAGAGTCTTCGTCATCGTGTGGACGTTCATAACGCCTTCTTGAGTCACCGTCTGATAGCTGTATAATCATCAAGAAGAAAAGGAAAGAAAACATGACGGGAGAAGTAAATATTTATTTTTGCGGAGGATGTGTTTAATTGAAATTGGAATCATTGCTAAAGCCATTGCAGTTAGGGATTTCATAAGTCAGCTCCGATAATTAAATTTCAGTGAACAAAATCGTCAACACGCTGGATGAAATGTTTTCTAATGATGTTCGTTTACTTATATTTACATTGTTATATTTTTTGTGAAGTGCCGAATAAATAATAAATAAATAAATAAAATAAATAAATCATTTTTGGAAATGTACAATAAAATAACATCCTGTGTAGAAGCAGGTTAATCATTTCTCTATATAATCTCTAATTACTACTTTTTTTAAAATATTGTAACACGCTATTGGTGAAGGTTCTAGAACACCTACCCCCTGGACAACTACCCCTAGGATAACTACCCTCTGGGGCAACTACCCTAGGACAACTATTCCTAGGACAACTACCCTTTGGGACGACTACCCCTAGGACAACTACCCCCAGAAAACTACCCCTTAGGATACCCCGGACAACTACCCCAAGACAACTACTCCCAAGACAACTACCCCCTAGGACAACTACCCCCTAGGACAACTACCCCAGACAACTACTCCTAGGACAACTACCCCCAGACAACTACTCCTAGGACAACTACCCCCGGACAACTACCCCCAGACAACTACCCCCTACGGCAACCATCCTCTAGGACAACTAGCCCCCTGGACAACTATCCTAGTGGGTAGTGGTCTGGGGGTAGTTGCCTGGGGTAGTTGTCCTATAGGGGGTAGTTGTCTGAGGGTAGTTGTCCGGGGGAGTTGTCTTGGGGGTAGTTGTCCAGGGGTAGTTGTCCTAGGGGGCAGTCATCCTAGAGGGTGGTTGCCCTAAGGGGTAGTTGTCCTAGAGGGTGGTTATCCTAGGGTTGTTATCCGGGGTGTGGACGTCCAGGGGTAGGTGTCCAGATACGGTCGAAACATAAATGGTAAGATAATAGTTACGCAAGAATGTTCTTAAATGTGCATCGTTGTCATGTTATCAGACGGACAACATTTAAACAATGTGATTTTTTGCACGAACTCAATATTGTTGCTGACCTAACGATGGATTACTTTTAAAAAAAGAGAGAGAGATTTAGTTTGCTTTAGAGGTTAATCTACAAATCTCATCTTGACCTTGATATGTCTTTCAGTCTCGAAACGCCATTCTTCATGATCAAGGCAAGTTTGAAAGCACTTATAAAAATGATGTGGACAGGAAGATGAGTAAAGTATTGCTTCCCCTCTCCATCTGTCCCTTCCCCCTGCACCTCTTTCCTTTCTCTCCCATACACCCACGCAACCCCCCCCCCCCCCCCCTCTCTCTCTCTCTCTCTCTCTCTCTCTCTCTTTCTCTTTCTCTCTCCCTTCCCCTCTCTCTCTCTCTCTCTCTCTCTCCCTTCTCTCTCTCAGTTTCTATCTCTGCATATACCCCTCTCTCATATACCCCTCTTTCTCTGCCCCCACCCCTCTCTCTCTCTCTCTCTAAACCCCTCTCTCTGCCATTACTTTTGAACATGCCCGAGATTCGAGGAGGGGTGGCTGGCCGGGGTATCAGTTAATTCTTATGCAAGGGTCACTCTGTGGCCTGGACCCACCCTCCTCAGAGGTCGCCAAATATCGACGTCGACTCGACGCCTAAGCCTGACCCTGACCTATTTGTTGTTGTAGTGAAGTCCTAACGTTCGTTTTTCTTCATTGGGTGAAGCTTTACTATACAAATTGATGAAATGTGTGAAGCTTTGACGAGTAATTTGTTTTTTCTGGTGATGTGACATCGAATCCAATCGGTCGCCTTGTTTGTTCAGGTGATGTGACATCGAAGCCACTACCGGTCGCGTCGAAAATATGTCGAAATCATGTCGAAATCGTGCGTTTCAAAACAACTATTTAATTTTTATTCCGGTCACTCATGCACTCGCATGATTCATCAAAACCGTTTAGCATTTCTCGCTCCGGTTAACCGTTATTTGCATACATTTTGGAATGTGCTAATAGACGATGATAAAGATAATCAAAGAAACCGCAGTGTAATATTACACCCAGGCCGCTGCGCGCTAGCTTTCTGGCAGCATTTATCCCAATGAATGAATTTGTAAACAATAAAACAACCAGCCCCCTTCTCTCTTTTCTCACCCTCTTTATTCCCTTCTCTCTGCAATGTGTTCATCGCTCATGTACCTTTTCTTATTACTGCACTCTCAGCTCACAACTTTCTAAATGTTTACACATTCGATGGTCAGTTCCTCTCACATCCCTTCTCCCCCGAGTCTCTCTCTCTCTCTTTCAATATTAATATCCATCCCTTGCCGACTCGCCCCCTAAAATAATGTTCATATATAAATAAAATACAAAAATATTGATAACAATAATAATTGAAGTTTTAGAAATATCAATCAACAAAGTCTTGGATATTATTTGTGAGTAATTTAAGTTTTTGATCATTCTTCAATTCAGCCGATTAACACAGCCACCCTTTCTTACTTCGATCTTCACTCATGTCCCTGCCTCGTCCATGCTAGGGACATGCAGGGACATGCTAGCCCATATGCATGCTCTCTCAGTCACACACACATGTACACACAAACCTCCGGCGCCCAAATACACTGTACATACACACAGATGGAGAGCTCATGCTTGTCACATGCACACATGTGGGCGTGGCTTCTTGACCTCCCACTGAACTGGGTACGGTGAAAGCACGCGCGGTCACCAACCTGTAATTTATGCTGGTATCAAACTCCACCCACATAGCTAGAGAACCTTCCTGATTGGTCACTAACTTGGATCAGCTCATTGCAGGGTGTGTCTTGGGTGTGTGTGATACACACTTCCACATAATTTCATATGGCAATGATACATGCAGGGAGCTCTCTCCCTGACCATGTGCAAACATTGCATTGCAAAGGCATATATAAACACGTCACAGATCAGCTATCTTCACAGAGTAACTTTGCAAGGTTAATCATGATATCAAATTCAGATGAGGAATAATAAGACATGTTTTATGTTGTTTATTACTGGTCTCTGTTTATCAGGATGACCCAATTTGTGCCATAGTCCGGGGCTGGGAATGCTCAGCCCGACAGTCTGAAGACCAGCAGGGTTCCGAGCTACAGCACTATTAAAAATACTGTATTTTCACTTTTTCAGATTATTATTAAACGGTTAAACGAAACCGCCCGTATACTTTTAACGGTTAACCGTTTAGCACAAAAACCGTAATGACTCAGGCTTAGGTGAAACAGTGGTGAAGCTTGAACTATGCAAATGGCCAGTATGGTGAAACAGTGGTGAAGCTTCAGACCGGCCGAAAACTTACAAAAGTGAAGCCTCACCTATGGAAAACTGACACAAGTGAAGCCTCACCTATGTAAAACTGACAAAAGTGAAGCATCACCTATGCAAATAATTCAAAGGGTGAAGCCTGGACTAACACATTTGCTGATAAGAGTGATGCTTTGCCTTTGTTTTTTGTAAAGCACATGAAGTGATGGTGAAACCCTGAGGTTACAAATAATTGGCTCAGGTGAAGAAAGGTGATGACCTGAGGAGGGTGGGTCCAGGCCACAGAGTGACCCTTGCATTAGTGAAAGATTCATTGGCACAGGAAGATTAGTCACGTGTGATACATGTGATACAGTTTTGTCAACATGATCCTCTTCTCAAAGTTAGGGAATTGATTGGATTAGAGTACTACAATATAATATTTTCGTATATTTATGGATGTTTCTGTGTCACAATAATAGTTTGAAACGTGGTAATTATTATGTTTAACTATATTCACGGCGAACCACATTAAGTGGATTAACTTGAGACTTTTGTTCCCTCGTTGTCAAGGTGTCCTCCTATTCTTATCTATTCCATTTCAGGAAGAAGAAAAAAAGAAGAAAAAAATCAAACAAACCTGAACGGAGGAGGGCAAAATAAAAGGAAAAGAAGAGGGGGCGGGGAACTAGAAATTAATTCCATTTGGCCTAATTTATCTTGTTGTTTGCGTACAATTTCAACACGTTTACGAAACTTTACACAAGAGACCGGTACATTTCGTAATTGACCTCGAGAAGTTAAGGTCATACTTACATCATTTAATATCACCAAGGTCGAGGTCTTTGATATCTACACGATGATATCTAAAAGAAATCTACAAGACATAGTCATGAGGATATCTGCAACATATCTTCAAGAAAAGCCTCTTTGATGCATCTGCACAGTTTCTCCATATCTCCTCACGTTAGACGTGGTGACCTTGAGAAGTTATAATACTTACAGCATTTCACCAAGGTCATGGGTCTTTTGATATCTACAAGATGATATTTGTGAGAAATCTACACGTAGATCATGATATCTACAAGATATCTGCAAGTATATCATGATATCTACAAAATATCAACAAGCATGACAAGAGACTCAACTATAGATAAGATAGCACATTTTCTCCACATGATGACCTTGAGAAGTTATCATACTTACAGCATTCAAGACAACCAAGGTCAGCGTTGTAATGGCGCCGATTGCTGCAGATGTCATTCCTCCATACTTCCAGATGAGCGAGCTCGTATTTTCTTCCAAAATATCCATTGCTTATTTTATGAATCCCTTCTCCTTCTGCTGGTCCGTCAAGTTCTTCTAATTATTATTTTTAATGTAGGCCTATATCATCATACAACAACACGGTTGGAATGTTTTACCAGTCGTAAGCCAACTATTTAAAACCCTCATTATACACCCTACGGGGTATACGAGAGCAGCATGGCATTCCTATTGCATTGCTGCATACAATGGTAATGTGAATGGGGCGGAGTAAGAGGTGTATTTTGAAAGAGGGTGTATGGGATGACATTTAGAAGGGCAGCGATGTAGAGAACTATTTCTTAAAGAAGGGAGTGAAGGAGTAGCACTATGTCAAAACATGACCAAACTTGACAATGAAGTTTCTTATTAACTTTTTGTTTTAAATATCAACTTGCAAATATTAGTTTCGATGGGGCAGGGCGCACCCTACACCCCCTCTCTCATCTGGTCAATGCGTTTTTCATTCCTGAATACACATTTATTCTGTGATTTGCGATCAGTAAACACAGCCCGTATATTTGCTCTTCTACTTCTATTCAAGACAATCAATGTCAAATAAAAATCCTTGTGCCATTTCGGCTCCAATGGTATGTCATAACGACACTTCAATCACAAGAATATTATGCGTAGACGTGATTTAGGCCTATTCAACATAAGATTTTTCCTTAGACAACAATCTCATTTTTTTTCTGTATTGTAAAACTTACATCTATATATATATATATATATATATATATTATGACATTGTTTTAAAGCGTTTTACTAGGATTAATTTTATCGTAAAGAGTAGACCTGTTTACTATCATAACCTTCTCATAACTTTTCATATCTCATCATAACACATAGTAACCTAAAGCTATTCAATTCACCTGTTGTGAATAATAATTCAAGATTCAAGATTCAAGATTCAAGATTATTTTATTGGTCCATGCATGCAAACATTACATAGAAATTTTGCTTCCAATGGCTTTTTTGACAGTGAAAATACAAATGATAGAAAATACAGTATAACATTTAACAATAGAAAACTATGTACATAAATATGGATAACTGTTTATAGTGTGCATATGCCCCTCAATTTCCTATTGCCTACATTTAGCATGCGTCATAAATTAAAATGTCTCATAATATAATATAGTATTTCTCGTCACCATCCCCCCCCCCCCCCCCCCCCATCCGCTAGCTCCCGATCCACAGATGGTCTGGATTTGCAGAAAAATAACAGTAATAAATACATTTACATTCAGATTTCATAATTATAAATACGTGATATAATTACGCAACACTTCTACAGTAAAATGAACTCTTAACTCCCCTTATATTTCCATGTATTTGTGTTGTTGCTATGTCGGACAAGCCCTCGACAACATTTCAGATTATCAAGATCAACATTAATGCAGAAATCATGCAAAAGATTATTATTAACACTCCACACCTCATTAGCAGAATTCGCATTATGATTAGACAGAGTACGCAATGAAGGACATAGCTTTGTCGATAAAACAAAGAAATACTTTAACTTATATCTTTATCGTCATAAAGACAAAGGAATACTCTTAATTGACAAATATCATTCAAACACAAATTAATCATTTCAACCGTTTCCTTGGACGAGTGTGAATGTTATTGAAGGCTATACATCTTTATCGACAAACATCAAACACCTGCACAGCCCTTAATGATAACATTAAACTATAATCATTGAACAATTACTGATTATAATGTATGCATTGCGTGATCGCACGCTTAGTCTGAAATATAGGCTTCAACAATCTGTTTCACAACGTGAGCACATCTAAATTAAACTTTAAAAATATTAAATTCATCAATAAACTATGATACCCCAGGGGCGAATCCTGTTTTTTGGTAAATAGGGGCACAATACATTAACAAAAAATATTACAAGCGAAAACTGTAGAAAAAAAGACACACTTGTACGGACTATTCTTTTAACTCCTTCCCTCCCCCTTTAACCCCTTGTCTATTTGAAAGGCGCAAGTATTTATCCGTAGACAATCGCTCCAACGAAGAGGGGGTGGGGGGGGGGGGGGGGGATCCGGTGCTCGATTCTACATTTGCCATAAATTAGACGCATACAAAATACAAGTCTAAAACTTCCAATTCACATCATGCATACATTATCATGACCAATCAGCAACCATATCTTAAGCTTCAGGGAAGTTAGGTAATATTTCACATCAATGCAAGACTAAGTGAATTGCAAACATTGTCATCTATGGAAAATATTCGAAGTTAATTGTGCAGGTATAGCCTAGCTGTATGAATAATAATGGTAGGCGTATAATATAGACTTAACGTGTCCGCGGTCGACCAGCCCACCGCCCCCCCCCCCCCCCCCCCTTTCCAGGCCATCATTTCAGATCAACAACACCCTTGGACTACCACAATAAAATTACAGGCAATGTTTCCCGGACAACTACCTCTCATAGGATAACTAACCCTGGACAATTATCCATAAACAAACACTTACATGACCAAATTAGCCAAATTAAACTTCCCACATTAACTATCTACATTATTTTACAGAAATAATGGGGGAATTGTTTAGGGGGTAGTTGTCAGGGGCAGGCTCTAATAGTGTCCTTAAAGGTGCTTTTGTTCGTTGGTGAAAGTAGTCCGATCGAGGGTGCCATGGTAGTTCGAAAAAATGGCCCTTGATAATGGATAGGGGTTTCGAGGCTTGAGCGGCTTGAGCGGCACACCCTCGTCCAAACCTAATCTGAGTACCCCCCCCCCCCCCCCCCCGGAGATTGTTTAGGAATAAAAAAAAAAATAGGGCTATATCACATGCTCGTTAGCATGCTCAGCCGTACACCCTTTCCAAAACGTTATTGTGGTTCCTGGGCCCCATCTTATAAAGAGTTGATATTAATCGCAACTTATTTGCGACTGATATCAATCGCAACCCCGGGTCGCAAGGGTCGCAACCATGTACATAAGAGAATAATAGGAGACTGCAAAGTTGCGATTGATTGGAGGACTTGCGATTGCTTTGGATCTTAACTCTTTATAAGACGGGATTTTGGTCTGTCAATCTATCTCTTTCGTTCTCTTTCTTCTTCTTCTTCTTCTTCTTCTTTTTCTTCTTTTTCTTCTTCTTCTTCTTCTTCTTCTTCTTCTTCTTCTTCTTCTTCTTCTTCTTTTTCTTTTTCTTCTTCTTCTTCTTCTTCTTCTTCTTCTTCTTCTTCTTCTTCTTCTTCTTCTTCTTCTTCTTCTTCTTTCTTCTTCTTCTTCCTCTTCCTTTTCTTCTTTCTCCCAATTTCACCCCCTCTTTCTATCTCTTTCATTCTTTCTACCTCTGTATTCTTTAGATACCTATTGATCATCAATGCACTGTGCCCCAGTCGTCTAAAAAAGTTGTTTCTTGCAATAATTGTTGTTGTTGTTTTTGCAACAATTACTGATGTTATCTACTGCTGCTGCTGCTTTTTTTTAAACAAAATTGTAGGATATTATGATATTCACTATCAATCCTAGCTAATATCATTACAAGTTGAAAGACCTTGCTCCATGCATTTACTCAGTGATCAATGCCTGATTATCACGCGACAATAATTGCTTGTAAATAACGTCTGGAAATGATAAGCAATCGCGACGTTAAACTTATTTCTTATGTATTCTCTTTGTTGTTTATCTTTATTGAGTCTGTAAAATATATGCATTTATTATTCTCGAATAACCTGCTTCAAGATCACCTTCACGATTGTTGTTCCAATGAACTTCCTTGCTCAATGAAAGCCTGCATAAAACATTATGGTCACGTCTCCGTTATCTCAACAGAACTGATGTCAGTAACATGATAATAATTATGGGCCGGTGGAGTGGCAGATGTTATAATAGCGATGTTCGGTTCATTGGGTGGGGCATCATCGGCGTAATAAATCGGACAACATGACGAATCACGATTGACTATAGAGGGTTCGAATCCCAGCCCGGCACGTATACGTCCTTTGGCAAGACATTCATCCACATTAATTTGCCACTCTCTATGGTGGCCCTGAAGGGACATCGCGAATAGACTAAATCGTGAAAAATATGCGATAAAATTCACGATATCGTCAATTTTATCGCATATTTTTCACGAAGAAATTCACGAAATTGACGATATCGTGAACTTTATCGTGAACTTTTCACGATGAAATTGACGATATCGTGAATTTTATCGTGAAAAGTTCACGATATAAAGTTCACGATATCGTCAATTTTATCGTGTACTCTATCGTGTACTCTATCGTGTACTCTCCTGACGGGCGCTTCGTAAACAAAACCAGCCCTAGCTGGGGGAGACAGAGAGAAGGAAAAAAGGGAAAGGGAAAGAGAAGATAAAAGGAAAGAAAGAATAATAAGAAGAAAAGAGGGAAACGGGGAGGGGGGCGAAGGGCTCTTGCCTCCTCACTCCCCCCCCCCCCCCCCCCGCCAAAAAATAAATAAGGAGAGAGAGAAGGGAAAGGGAAAGGGAAAGAGAAGATAAAAGGAAAGAAAGAAGAGGAAGAAGAAGAAAAGAGGAAAACGGGGGAAGGGCGAAGGACTCTTGCCCCCCCCTCCCCCCCCCCCCCGCCAAAAAATAAATCAGAGAGAGAGAGAGAAGGGAAAGGGAAAGTGAAAGAGAAGATAAAAGGAAAGAAAGAAGAGGAAGAAGAAGAAAAGAGGGAAACGGGGGCAAAGGGCTTTTGCCTCGTCCCCCACCCCCCGCCAAAAAATAAATAAGAGAGAGAGAGAGAGAAGGAAAGGGAAAGAGAAGAAAGAAAGAGAAAAACGAAAAAGAGGGAGAATAGGAAAGAAAGGAAAAGAAAGAAAAGAAAGGAGGCAAGAGCCCTTCGTCCCTGTTTCCCTCTTTTCTTATTCTTTTTCCTCTTCTTTCTTTCCTTTTATATTTTCTTTCCCTCTCCCTTCTCTTTCCCTTTATGGCGGGAGGGGGGAGGGGGAGGTAAGAGCCTTTCGCCCTTCCCCCGTTTCCCTCTTTCCGTCTTCTTCTTCTTTCTTTCCTTTTATATTTTCTTTCCCTTTCCCTTTCCCTTCTCTCTATCTCTCTCTCTCTCTCTCTCTCTCCTATTTATTTGTTGGCGCGGGAATGGGGAGGAGGCAAGAGCCCCTCTTTTGCTTCTTATTCTTCTTCCTTTCCTTTTTTATTCTCTTTCCCTTTCCCTTCTCTTTCTCTCTTATTTATTTTTTGGGCGGGGGGATGCAAGAGCCCTTCGCCCCCGTTTCCCTCTTTCCTTCTTATTCCTCTTCTTTCTTTCCTTTTATATTTTCTTTCCCTTTCCCTTCTCTCTCTTATTTATTTTTGGCGGGGGGGGATGCAAGAGCCCTTCGCCCCCGTTTCCCTCTTTCCTTCTTATTCCTCTTCTTTCTTTCCTTTTATATTTTCTTTCCCTTTCCCTTTCCCTTCTCTCTCTCCTTATTTATTTTTT